TAACCGTGGTTACAGAATATCCAGAGGTCAACATGCTATCTTTTCCTTAAAACAACTTGCTAGACTTAAATCATTGCTGCTGTTTTTAGTTAGACATCATCATTAGCATGCTCCGTTGTGATGTTGATGAAGAGTATGCATCTACCACGAACTGTCAAAAGAACAAACAAATTTGTCTTGGAGAAAGTAAAACAAGAGTTCTCTTTAGAGGCAAGAATAATGAAATTTCATCTCGTATATTTTGGGACAATGGTCAGGAAGCACCAATCCTTGAAAAAGTATCATTCTTGGAAAAGTAAAGAGTCATCAAAAGAGAAGAAGATTCAAGGTGATGGATTTGCATAGTAACTCTAACAATGGGCTTGAGCATGGCAGAGACTATGAGGATGGCACAGGCTAGGGCAAATTTTGATCTGTTGTTCACAGGGCTACTATGAGTCTTAATCAGTTTGATAGCACCCAACAACAATATTCATTTTCAACTCTCTAAGAACAGAGTATATCTAGTATCTAGTATTAGATAAAGAACTTTGGTTGTGCAGTGGTTAAAATACTCAATTACTAATTTAAAGATCAGTACGTTGTTGAAGGCTAGAATCCAGGTGGGGAGAATTCTGAAGCAGCCTGACTCTACAGAGGTTTTGATTTCTGGTTTTGGTGAGACTCTGGGTGCATTGTTTACTAGCCATTGGTTGTGAGTTGATTGTGTTTGGCTTTCTATTTAAAAATGGCATTTGGACATTCAGGCCTGTGGTCCTCAGGCCTGGTTTTAATTGTTTTTGGTCAAACATTCTTCTAAGTGGCATAGCTGCTCTATACATTTGCTGTACAGAGGTAACTCATGGTTGTTGTAATGCTAAACACTATGACACTGGTGTGTCAACTGTGAGGATGATTACCCATGGTGGACAGTGTTTGGTGGAGCTTCCTGATTAAAACAAGCTTAGGAGCAGGAGTGGCATCCACTTCTGAAAGAGCTTGCCTCCAAAAGCTCTATGAACTTGGAGAAATGATGAAAGTTATACAAGTGTTCAGGTCTTTCGTTCATAGGGTCATTATGAGTCCTCTATGACTCAATAGCACTTAACAACAACAAGAAGAAGTGGTTGAAACCCATCAGATTCCCAAAAGAAGAAAGATGCAGCATTCTGTTTCTGTAAAGATTTGTAGCCTTGGAAACATTAGGGGCAGTTCTACCCCATCCTTTAGGATCTCTTTGAGTTTGAATTAATTCATACAAAGGGTTTTTGTTTGTTTGGTATAATATTTCACATATAATGGGATAAAAATTAAAATGAGAAAATTAAAATGGCAATTACATGAGGAGTTTGTCTTGGTTTGGGTTCTTACTTCTTTTTCACATAGAGTATTTCCACTTTCAGAAGAGACTGGAATATGCCCCATGTAAGATTCTATCTCAGCCTTAAGATGTCATGACATGAGAATGAGTTCACGTGAGGCTACCACATCTAATACTCGCTGCCCCCTTCATTATAGGCAGATGGCTTCTGCACCCTAATGTATGTTCTCTTACCTTATTAACAAATGAAGAAACCCTTTACTCATCTTTTGTACTTTTATTATACTTATATAGAAACATCCTTTGCCCTCAGATATTTTCTTTAGTTGTCCAATTACCATTTTCTTGTATGCCAAGAAACCATTTCCACAAGACCTCTATATCTAAAAATCAAATTGCTAATCAGCAAAATTAATACATTTAGTTGTAATGAAATTATTTTTTCAGGAGACTTCAATCTATAAGCCAGAATTTGTCATTTAGGTAATACTTTTAAAGAAGGAAATGTTCTTATGCAATATGACTAAAATGCCCCAGGGAACTCTGAAATCGTTTTTTCATTAAATAGAGCTGAAATTATGCTAACTAGAACATGAGGAAGAAAAGAGGAAAACAAAGTATAGAACACTGGGGAATGAGAAAATAGACTGTAAAAGGAACAGCGATTTTGCTCAAGGTTACCCAGTGAGTCAGGAACAAAGGAGAGAATTGATCCTACGCCAAGACCCCAAGCATATCCACATTAATGACTGCATGCGGAATCTGCCATTTTCAATAGATTATATATTCATGTTTCTTCTATACAAGGAAAGACAGTCATATTTGCCACCCCCAGGTCTAACATGTGGTTTACTAAATATATTTTAGGCTATTGCCTGTTACATAAAATTATCAATTCCCCATCAACTAAAAGTTAAGTTATTATCTTATGTACATAGTTGTATTTGATGGCCCCAGTAGCCTCTGGTATTTCTGTGGTTTAATGCCACCAAGTTGGATCCGACTTCAACTCAGTGATCATGTGTGCAGCAGAAAGAAATTCTACCTCGTCCTGCATTATCTTCAGTCTTTGCTATGCTTAACCTATTGTTGCAATCACTGTGTCAATCCCTTCTCTGATGTAGGAACTACAACTATCATTGTATGGATTCATTTAGATCTGTTTCTGCTGTTGTTATGTGCCATCTAGTTGACCCTATGGGCCACAGATCAAAACCATGTCGCCTTATCCTGCACCAGCCTCACCATCTTCGACATGCTTGAGCACAGTGTAACAGTCACTGTGTTGATTCATCTACTTGAGGCTTAGATAGATTAAATGCACTATTCATATTGCCATGACTTTGGGGATATTTTCACCATATCAAGCTATTAGAGAACATTACAGATTCCCTCTTTAAAAAAGCATAACGAAGATTGAGTTAAGTCTGAAATATATTAGAGTGCAGCAAGATAAAAAGTCTTTGCAAGAACTCAAAATGAGAAACAAAGTTGATATTTAGAGGCAGGAGATTAATTTGATTAAATTGTTACTTGTATGTTAATTTACAAGCTGATTAGTTGGGATATGAAGGAAACATGTTCATGCAGGATCCTTAGATCCTGGCAATAATTTATTTGTACATGATGTAGTTAAGACATAGACACTAAGTAAATCCCTTATAATAATATATATTCAACATAAGAAAGCAGCCCTTCTTATAATATTAAGTCTCTATGCTGTCTCCCACTAAAACCCAGATGAATAAGAAAAACAAACCAGGTAAGAACATAAGGAATGTGGCAATGATACCCAAACCAAACCAACTTTAGTGGATTTAATTAGCTTAAATTTTTATTTGCATCTGACTGAGTGCTTTCTCCACTGACTCAAAGGTGCAATTTGACAACATTATAGGTATTAGGAAGTCCTCAGACCCTAATGTCAGGCTATCCTATCTAGGTTCAAACCATTCTTCTGCCTTTTACTTATAGGCTTTAATGAGCTACTTAATCCTCTTATTTTCCACACATATTAAAATGTAGATAATAATAGCATACTCTCATAGGGTTGTTATGAAGATGAAATGAGTTAGTCTGCGCTAAGTACTTCAACAGTGCCAGGCATACAATAACCCCAGTACAAATGCTGGAGGAGTAAATGAAGGTAGGAAGAGCAAGTAGTAGAACATAGATGCTGTGTGCCTTTAATGCATTGCTTTGCTGCATTATCTGCAGCATTTGACTTTCCCAGCTGGGCCACTTGATTCACCCCCCGCCCCCAGTAAATTTAGCCCCATTTCTTGTCTGGCCCCATACTGCTCTTGTTCAGGAAGACGTCCTAGTTCAGTAGTTCAGGTGATTCAGCATTAAGTCAAGCTGGCTGTTATTCTTGTCCTGACCTTGTATCCCAGTTTCAGTCCCTTGTTCCTGTAATCAAGTCCCAAGAACTGGTCCTCCAGTTCCAGCGTTCTGCTCCCTTGTGCCTGAGTCCCTGCACAGGACCTCCAGTTCCTTGGAAGCAGACATCTCCCAAGCAGCAGCCTATGGACTAGACATAGTTTATTTGCCACACTTGTGTTTGAACCATTGAAAATCAGTTGCTTGTTTTTTAAGAATTTCAAAATGTTAGATAAAAATAAAAAAATGACCAACTTTTCTTCAAACCCTGGACAGTCTGACTGGCCTGGGTTTCATTTCTCCCTGGGAACAACCCTCGCTAGAGGGAGGTAACTGGCAGCTGTCCTTTGGAGAACTACGTGAGTTCTGTTGTCGACAGCTCCCACTCCTGCTTCACCTATTTTTGTGTCGACAGCTCCCATTCCTGCTTCACCTATTTTTGTGATTTGCTTGGTCATTGTAAGTATTGGAGTTTGGGATCTAATGGTGGGCTGGCACTGAACATTTTGTGTCAGGCATTGTTCTGTTTCACATTTGCTTACTCATTTATTCAAAGACCTGGAGTCAACTTGTTCTGTTCTATCATCCTTCTTGTTTTCTAAAGTCCCTGCTGTCTGATACTATGACTGTCATATTTCCCCAGATCATCATCAGTGAGGATCTGCTCATAATGTCTTGCTAAACTCCCTACCTGACAACATTCCCCCACACTGTGGCCTATTGCCTATCTTCACTCTGCGTTGCCTGTCGGTAACTGCCCTCAAGCACTTGGACCATCATGGTAATTGTAACCTAGGATCCTATGCTTTATACACTTGTCTCATGAACGTTCTGTTTTTATAAAACCATATGTGTCATTATACAGTCAGATTTTACCCTCATAAAACTTTTGTTCCTATTCTTACTGGAAGTCTAACAAAATCCACCAAACATTATTCATCATTTTATTCTAAACACTGTCTTAGAAAGAAATCTGAGGGGCTTTCTAGATAGAAACTCAAATGAGTCTGTTTATCTCTCCCATTAGCAAACAATCTCTTACTAATCAATAAACTTGTACATTATTTGAACAGAATAAATTCTTATGCTTATTTGCTTATTTTCCACATGATAAGCCTTTATGCTACACAGAGGAATGAATGAGAAAGAAGCACACATATGACTAAGCAGAGTTAGCAAATACCCAACAGAAAACTCACAACACTATATCTACATGTCATTTCATGAGATTATCTGGCTTGGGTAAAATGGAATATATGTTAAATTTAAGATTAAATTATACATTAATTTTCAAAAAAAGTTTAATAAATTTGTTACTTACATAAGGAATCGTGTCCAAAGTATCTGTGTTGACAATTATAGGAGCAGGACTAGCCTAAAAAAGAGAAAAGTTGGGAAAAAAATGTAAACTACAGTAGGCTTCAAGATAGAATCAGTACATTTATTTAACAAAGAACTTGACTGGCATTTCTTCAGGACTTGTCCAGGTGCTGTGCTGGTTGTGAAGTAAGAAAATGAAGTGACCCAGCACTCCCCACCCTTCCCATTCAGAATATTTGTCTGCTATATTTCTCATATAATGAAATGAAATGTGCCACAAGACTCACAATGGTCTTCTCTTAAATTTTACACAGCACTGTAAGAGATAAAGAATATGTGACATTTAAAGAAAAGATTTATAATACTTTGAGTGGGATTTAACTTTTGTGACATTTCTTTATAAAACAACTAGCTTTGCTAAAGAAATCTAATTTTTCACTCAAGGAAGTAAGATTAAATTTAAACTGATATTTCTATCTCTTCTCTTTTAAACTGCTTTGAAGAGTAGGTGATATTCAATGCAAAATCGAAGGATATCTTAAATGTACATTTACCTATTATACATGTTGTATCTTTATTTCATGTGGTTATGGGCTGATTACACACATTAGAAACCTTCAGGAGGAAAATTAAAAATTACTCAGAGATGGTAGAAAGTAATGCTGAGTTTATTAAACTTTCTTAAAAAAATTTTGTGCAAACAGCAGTCACTCCTGTTAAAGTAGAATAGAAATCTGAGTAACATCGAGAGTGCTACAAGCTAAGTCATTAGAAACGAAGAGATTACAATCTTTATTTGCATCAACCAATCTGGCTCCATGAATATGGAGTAGACTTATCTTTATTTTCTGGTTTCTAGAATTTTCACAGCAACTTTCCCTTCATCCCCCTAAGGATCTTTAATCTCTTTCCCAAATTACAGATTTCATTTAGATAGAGGAAACACTCTCATCATGATTAATAGAGAGCTGTCCTGTATGACACAGTGGTTTTGGCAAGTGCTCAACTTTTAGGACATTTCATTAGTTATGCTCTCTGGAGTTAACAGAGTTAACAGCTTTTTAATGCCCATCTGTGCCTGTAGAATCCTAATCACATGATCAAACAAATGGTAGCACAGAATATTACACAAAACAAAGTTCCATGTTTTAATCAGAAACAAATGGTGATCAAAATTCTGGTTTATATATCAACATTGTGGGTAAACTTCAAGTGTATCATATATCCATAATTCCAAATGGGATTATCATGTAAGTAAATAGGGGCTTTGAATAGACATAGTTTACACTGAAACACACATACGCATACATACAGCACCACCCTCAATAAAGCAGAACACTTTTTGTTAAGAGGAATGCAACATAAATAACCTAAAGTGAATTCAGAGACATATATTCAAATTACTTTAAGCAAGTGCTTGATTTACAATCTAGGGGTTCAGCAACTTCCTATTTATATGATCGGGATGCAAGTCTGCTAGTCATTTCTCACTCATTTTCCACCCCTTTTCCTATAGAACAAAGTAATTCAAATTACTACCTTCCCAAAAGACCACTTGAAGGTAAAGGTGAAGAAAGGAGTTGGTATGTTTGATGTGCTTTGTAAAACAATTTGACATTCTTTATAGAAGTAATGTTGGTATTATTAAGAGTCCCTACACTGGACTAACATAAGAATATTGCTGGATGGTTGTGGACTTTTTTCAATAGTTCTGAATGCCCATGATAGTGGCCAAGACTGAAATTAAGAAGTATGTTTTTATTGTTATGTGCCATCAAGTCGTTTGCGACTCATAGCGACCTTATGCACAACAGCCCTAAACCCTGCTCTATCCTGCGCCAACCGCACTGCCTCTGACACACCCATCCCGATTACCCCAGTCACCTAATCAATCCATCTCACAGAGGTTCTTCCCCTCCTGCGCTGTCCCTCCACCCTCCCAAGCATGGTGTCCCTCTCCAAGGACCCGTCCCTCCTGGCAACGTGTCCAAAGTATGTCAGACGAAGCCCCAGAATCCTTGCCTCCAAGGAGCAGCTTGGTTTAATCCTCTCCAAGATGAATCTGTTTGTTTTCCTGGCAGTCCATGGTACATTCAGTACTCTTCTCCAGCACCACAGCTCAAAGGCATCAACTCTCCTTCTGTCCTCCCTAGTCATTGTCCAACTTTCTGATGCATAACAAGCGATTGCAAAGACAATGGCCTGTATCAGGCGCACCTTAGTCTCCAGAGAGACACCGTTGCTCCTGAGTACTTTAGAGAGGTCCCTAAGAGCAGACTTTCCCATCGCGATACGCTTTTTGATTTCCTGACTGCTGGTGCCAAGAGTGTTGACTGTGGAGCCGAGCAAACTGAAGCTGTGAACAATCTCAATCTCTTCACCATCCATCCTGACACTGCCAATAGGTCCAGTGGTGAGAATCTTTGTCTTCTTGACATTGAGCCTCAGTCCATACTGAAGGCTGAAGTCCTTGACCCTCTGCAGAAAGTGCATGAGGTCCTCCTCAGTTTCAGCAAGCAGGGTTGTGTCATCTGCATAACGCAGAATATTAATAGATCTTCCACCAATCCTGATGCCACAATTCTCCTCATAGAGTCCAGCCTCCCGGATAATCTGCTCTGCATACATGTTGGAAAGGTATGGAGACAGGATGCATCCCTGACGTACACCCTTCCCAATTTTGAACCATGCAGTACTACCCTGCTCCATTCTGACTACTGCCTCTTGGTCCAAGTATTTTCCGCATTAGCACAATTAAATGTTCTGGGATTCCTATTCTTCTCAGAGTCAGCCACAGTTTGTTATGATCCACATAGTCAAATGCCTTTGCATAATCAATGAAACACAGATAGACATTCTTCTGGTATTCTCTGCTTTTAGCTAAGATCCATCTAACATCAGCAACAGTATCCCTAGTACCACGACCCCTTCTAAACCCAGCCTGGACTTCCAACAATTCTCTGCTGATGTGCTGTTCTAAAAGGATTTGAAGAAGTATGATTGTGTGTAAAGCAATGTAAAATTAAAAAAAAAAATAAATAAAAAAGAAGCATGATTGGATTGTGCTCTAAGACAATCTCTCCAAAGTTTATAATAACAACTGACCTTTATGAAATACTATTATACTAATACGCATGAATACACTCACTTAATCTCTACTAAACCATAAGGAGGAGATATAATTCCTATGTTGTAGATGAGAAAACTTGGGCTCAGTGAAAATGAGAGTTGAGATTGAACATTGGTTTCTCTGACTTCAGATTACATTTTCTCCCCTCTAAGCTGCTCCAACATTTCAGGCTCTGAGTAACTCTATGACAACCAAAGAACCCCTAGGCCTGCAGCGATTTAACAGTCCCTTACTGAAGTATTACACAAGCCCTGAAAAAAAAACAAGGATTATGCTGAAAGAGACATAGAGGAGTCTCTGAATTCTACATGTCAAGTGTTGAAAGAAACTTGGTGATGCTTTCCTTGGAGTTTTGTTGTGTTCTCTACTTTGCCCCTCATGTCTATAGAAATGTTGCCTTGCCTCATTCACTGTACTGAAAACTCTGTCACATCCAATACTTGCATTTTTTAAAATATTATACAGCTTTGATCAATAATTAGTAATTGCCATATTTAGGTTTTCATTTACCTTACTTTTTCTTTTGTATAAACTATAATGATTTGGCTTGGGAATAAATTTTATATGTAAACCTGTTTCCTATAAAATGGTACTTGCAATTTTCTTTGTAATGTTGCTACTTAATATTCTACATATAAAAACTTGATCTTTATAATCAGAGTGTTTATAAAATACTATGTTTATATACTTTCCTAGAATTTTCCACAGCAAGTGGATACACAGACAAAATTAATAGTATCTATTGAATAAATGTAGATCTGGATGAGATGGATTGATACAGTATCTGGGGCAATGGGGGTTGGTGTGTCAGAATCAGTGAGACTGGCTCAGGACAGGGCAGGGTTCAGGCTGCTGTAGATAGATTTGCTATGGGTCACAGATGAAATGGCAGCATATAACAAAAACATTGAAAAAGATGTAGCAGCTGGTGAAAGTAAAGAAGAAAATAATGCTTTCCCCCCTACTCTTAAAGATTTATTCTAAAATTGTGTTAAATTCTATTGTGTAATAAGAAACGTTACTTAACTAAACTAGCTTTTATGAAATAGTAATTAAGCATATTGTAGAATGAGGTTCCTGAGGATCCAGAAGTAAGGGCCCATGTGATATGGAAACATTGGTAAGAAGCTGCACTGCAACTACAAAGGCACATGTTTAGATTCCACAGCTGCTCTGCAGGAGAAAGACGGACAATCTCCTCCTGCACAATTACTGCCTCAGAAAACTTGTCAGAGGGTCAATTATGGGTTGGTTCTGACGCTTTCATACACAACAGTAACAACAACAAATAAATGAATGAATAAGTAGAAAGTGTGGATTTTGGGTTGCATAAACTCACGCATACGTGCACATATATCTGAGACTGGCAAGTCCCGCTGAATGATAAGGCTGAATGCTATGTATGAAGAGCCGTCTTGAATAAAATCCTTCCCCACTGTGCTGTTATTCTGAAATCTCTGAATAGGTCATTTTACTGTATTGGAGGACCCTCACAATCCACCTTCCTCTTCTTTCTGAGATGTTCTCTAGACTCTTGTTAGGTGCTTAACAGCATATTGATCAGTGGACAGCAAAAATAATTAATGGTAGCAACAAGAAGCACTGTGGAATGCCAGGTATGTCCCATGTGTGTGCTATCCACTTTGATAATCATTAGAGCCCATGCACAATTTCATTAAATTTGATTTTTCAGCCTTAAAATCAATTTCCCTTGCACTTTACAGCCTCTTCTTTTCTCTACTGCCTAGACACCACATGCTCTTTCTCTTCATCTCCAATATCCTTTTACTTGACTCCTGCTTGGGAAGGTAGAAGGATGGCAAAGGAGAGGAAGACACTCACCAGGTGGGTCAACACAGTGACTGCAGCAATGGGCTCGAGTGCCTCAGAGATTGTGAGGATATAATACAGGAAATGACAGGGTT